CGATTATTAAATATCTTACATTATAATTGGCTCGTTGCCCTTCTTTTATTTATTGATTTATTCTAATTGAGCCATATTAACAATTATAAAATAAATATTTTATGTAATATCATTTTTTTTTCTTTTTAAAATAAACGTTTTTGATCATGTAAATTTCGTCTGTTTCTTACTCCTAACCTCGTCTCGTCTTACATTAGTCACCTTTTTCTCACGTATTTCAGATTTAGATAATGTTCATTAAAAACAAAATATACATAAGAAAAAAAATTTTTCTTTTAAAATAATGTTCGAATCATCAAACCGATTAAGGTGGCGCGTGCCAGCTCGAACTTGTTCGTTCCTGTTTTATCTCCCTTTCTCCCTAGTGAAAGCAGGAGTCTTCCGAAAATTCTCGTAAAAGACCTCGTCTTAAATAATAAGAAAAAAACCCTTTCACTAAGACGTCAACATGTCGGAGACATCGTGTCGCACCAGCAAAAAATGCAGCACAAAAAACTGTGTGCATATTCGCTGACCGTCCCTTCCCCCTTTCCCCACTCGTAACGAACAAAAGTTCTCGGTCCTACTTTTCCTCGGTTTTCCTATCCATTTTGCCAAGGTATTCTTCCCTATCGATACCCCCACCCTTTCCAATCACCACGCGGACAGCTATGGCCCGAGCCAATCAGCATGTGGGCAGCTATGGCCCGAACATCCTTACGTCGTTCACCAATCAGAGCGCACCATTTCTCCAGACAGACCCGTCTAGGCCACCCCCCACCTGTCTGGTGGTGGAGTGGAGGGGGTTTGTTTTAACCGGCCAGTGTGCTTCCCACATACTATTAACGTACAAGCTAGGTTCAGAGAAAAACTCTGTACGAGGTGTGGCTATTAAATAACGAGACTGCCGCTGCTACAGAAGAAGTACGCATGCGCCAAACGCCAGCGACCGACAGCTGTTTAGCGTGAAGCCTTCTCTTTCGAATGCAGTACCTCTCGCTTCTGTAAACAAATCCGTATAGCCGTAGCCTTCGTTCGCATTAGAGTTGTTTTTTTGTTTCGCCGGAAAAATGGTAAGTGTAACAATAGAGCAACGAATTGTTGTGAAATTTCACGTGAAACTTGGAAAAACCGCTACTGAAACTTATAATTTATTGACACAAGTGTATGGCCATGAATGTTTATCGCGTGCACGTGTTTTTGAGTGGTTTAAGCGTTTTCAAGATGGCCGAGAAGACGTTAAAGATGATTCACGCCCGGGTCGCCCTTCCACGTCAAAAACGGATGCCAATATCAAAACAATCGGTCAAACTATTAATCAACATTACTACCTTCACGTTCTTGCTGAATTCTGTGAAAAAATAAAGAAAAAACGACCCGAATTGTGGAAAGACAAGTCATGGGTTCTCCACCAAGACAATGCGCCGTCTCATTCCGCATTGTCTGTCAAGAGGTTTCTAGCCAAGTACAGCATCCCAGTGTTAGACCATCCGCCTTATTCGCCGGATCTTGCACCATGCGACTTCTATCTGTTTCCTAAGGTGAAATCTGCATTAAAAGGAACAAGATTTGAGTCCGTTGAAGCTGTGAAAGAGAAAGCGGCACGCGTCCTGAAGGAGCTGACAGAAGACTTCCCAGCCCTTAGCAAAAATTCTCCTTGAACTTCAATGGTAAATTGCAATTTCCATTCGGAATTGAATGGAAATTTGCTTTTTCCTTTGATAATTTTCCATTTGTCAATGGAAATTTTATATTTCCATTGAGATATTACCACTGACCAATGGTAATTTAATTTTACCATTCGGATATTTACCAATGTCTAAGACAATCTGATATTTCCATTGAAGTAAATTTTTCCTTGGCCAAAGGAAACGTGATATTTCCATTTACTTTTCCATTCATTAATGAAAATATCTGTTTACCATTGAAGGATTTAGCATTGGCCAATGGAAGTTAATATTTCTATTGAAACATTTTCCTTTCGTCAAAGAAAATAACGAATCCCTTGGAGAATAACAATGGGAAATAGTAGAATGGAAAATGTTTTTCATTCAGTATATTGTAATTATGAAAAAGTAATGTTATTATATTTTATTATATTTATCTAGTTTCTCTTGTATTGAAAATTTAAAGTATGATATTACACGAATTTAGGATTTTATTCTCAAAAATTAAACTAAATGTTCCATGTAAAAGATCGAACTGCACATAGATGTTTACAAATTTATATTTATATGATATTATAATGTACAGTTGAGATTAATTACAAACTATTAATGGGTGCCTCGTCAAATATCTTTATTTGGGAACGTAATTTTAGTCCCTCTCGAATTTATTAACAATTGGTATAACAAACATTTTTTCATTTACAATCAATCGCATACATTTACGACTAATGCTACTTATTGGAATGCAATTAACGTTAATTCCTGAAAGTTTTACCACATGTATAAAAGAGTTACTTTGAATATTAAGAGTGGAATCCTTAACAATTATCTCGTTTGTTGGCAAAAGTTGTTGACCTACAAGAACAGATTGCCTTAATTCAGTGATATATAATACGCGATTAATCTGAAAGAATCGTCCATCTATTAATTGTGTAATGCAGTTGTCTCTCTTTTTTAGTCTTTCATAAGCAGCAGTGTGATAGAGCGATTCTTTCCAGATAAATCGATTAAAGCTTCGAATTTGATATTCGACATTTTCAGATAAAATAGGCTGTAGTAAACAATTTTCAAGTGCTATTCTCATTTGTAGAGTCAGTTCAAAAAGAACGCCAGATCCAATAAGTGTCAATGCACCTTCCTGTATGCATTTATGAACATTGTATTTTGCTCCTTCTATGAGAGTCTCAATAAGGTGTGTAGCAGGTTTAAAAGAATCCTTATTGAAAATTTCTACACTATCTTTTTTAATTTTCATTATGCAATCATACGATTTGAAAATCTGATTTACTACACTCTGAGTTCCTTTAAACAATTTCAGAAGTACTCCATTTCCATGTTCAAACATAAAAGTAGAGCTGTCCCATGGTGCACCCCAATTTTTGACATATTGTGGTATATGTAGTAGCAGATGCATATTAAATGTCAGATATTCTGTACCATATAAAATCTCAGTTTGCTGCACAAACTTTTTAATTGCGCACTCACTTTTATGAATATCTGTAAGTGTTACTTTATTATTTAGGAGCAAATGAAAACTGTAGACCAATAAAAACCAATGCCTATAATATTTTGATCGCATAATGTTTTTGAATACAGGTGTTGCGTCGCGGGAGGCTTAGAAGATTTTTTTAAAACTTCTTAGGGGACTCACCGCGAGTTTAGGGGTGGATGATTACGATCTGATGTTACTGATCGATGTAGGCTGCTGTCACCAAGTTAGATAACGCTCTAACTACGCGTTTCGCTGATAGCGATGATCGTGGGTTCCGTACTATCGTACGGCCTATCGCCCGAATGGATTAAGTATTGTTCGAAAGTGGCTAACGTGGTCGCGCATATGGCGCAAGGGGGTGAACGGTCCTCGGTTAACAGAGGATCTCTACACTCGTCGCAAGTAAGATGCGATTGATCTAATCCTATCCGCGTATAATGCCTAGTTACGCGCCAGTAAAAGCTACGATGGTAAAGTGATTTATCCGTATAGCATAAAGTACATAATTGAGATGCTCCCGCGCGATGCATATAAAATTTAGCTATGCAACATACGGCGGTATTTAACCAGTCTCTGAAAGTTGCCGGTGGAAGCACCTGATTACTTCGTTCTAAGCGGTATGGAGGGCACATGAGTTTAGTTACTTCAGCGCGGAGTTATAGAAAAACGTCTCTGAGTTTATTGAACTGACGAACATATGTCGAAGGCCAAGAGGTCCTTCCTAAAGCCAAAGGAATACGATCCTTTCTTGTCGTTCGTTCGGTGCGGCTCGTCCTTGACTACGGTTAGTCACGCACGTAGGTAACTGTCGCTATTGTTCTATTTGTTGCGTCGCGGGAGGCTTAGAAGATTTTTTAAAACTTCTTAGGGGACTCACCGCGAGTTTGGGGGTGGATGATTACGATCTGATGTTAATGATCGATGTAGGCTGCTGTCACCAAGTTAGATACGCTCTAACTACGCGTTTCGCTGATAGCGATGATCGTGAAGTGGTTAGAAAATATTTCCCAGCTTTCTGCAAATCTTTTTTGTTATTAACAACATTACAATAAACACATTCGACTATATTTATTGTATTTTCAAATTGTAAGTAAGCTTCACAGGACGGACAGTAAAAATGTTTTTTGACCTCACTACTTGAATGTTTCTCAAAGTGTTTAGTAAATCTATACAAGGATGGAAATACTTTCTGAGGCAGAATGCAATTAAATAATTGCAACAAATCTTTCAATGCCTTTTCAGACAAATTGTGTCGAAGAGCATAAGTCATGATAAGAAACCGAGTTTGTTTGTTAGTAAGATGGCTATTTTCATATAATAATACATCATCCTGCAAGACAATAAGCATATTATTAGGAATTGTAATCCTTTCGTTCATACGTCACGTTCATGTCATCCTTTCCTATATACTACACTATAGCTGAGAGAAAAATTTTTGGTGTTTGTAACTACGATTACATGTTAATAAAATTATAATTATTATTGCTATTATAATATTAGTAATAATTATGTGTGTAGTTCTATCAACAAATGTGTAGTTGGTAACCGAAAATAACTATAATATAGTTATTATCACAAAATTATAGTTACAAGTACCAACAATTTTTCTCTCAGTGCATGTACATTTGTACATCATTGTTGCATATACATTAATACCTCATCGTTTTCATTTTGTTCAAAACGCGGTGCGTGTTCGTCTTCATCTGAATAATTATCTAAATTTATATTGTATTCAGAAGCTGTAGATTGATTATTTTCATCAAATTCATCGATATCATTTAAAATATTCAAGTTATCTTCTTCCATCAGAAAATGATCTAAGGCATCTGCATCATCGTTATCGGATGGTGATAATAAAGGCGATTCAGTGAGATTAAGCTCAGAAGTTTGTGAATACTCAGACTCAGAATCCTGTTGTCTGGCATCGCTGTCGTTATCCGCATTCTCAAGACAAGATAAATTATTGTCACTTATAAACTCTTCGTTATTATTTTCACCATCATCAACATTTTGATCAAAATCAAGACAATCTATTAAATTATCATTATTCACAAGCAGTTCTCCAAATTGTTGAGCTCGTCGAATTTGAGTTCTTTTTGGCACTTGTTCTTTCTCATTAAATAAGTACATTTTATAACGTCTATTATGCTCCATTTTACAAACAATACATAGACAGTGGGACTATGAAGTCTGGGATATCCTATAAGTATAACAATTTATATATATTATATACTGAAAATTAAATTTGCTAAAAACGAATTCACTTTTAACAACATGATAACAACCTGATAAACAGAGGTGTCTATCAAAACGAAATCTGCATCTTCCAATCTCATGTGATCATATAAATTTATTACCTTCTGAACTAAACATACACACACACACACACACACTTGTATATATTATTATACAAGTTGCATAAACTTTCTTCTTTTTTTCTTCAACTTGGACAGAAAAGGAAGAAACAATATCCTCTAAAACTTCATAAATTCAATACAGCTGCCAAGAAAAGATTAATTAGATTAAATTTGATATTAAATACGATATAATCAACAAAAACTTTGACTAAACAATAAGAGTCGCAACAAGGAGTATATAAGCCTAGTGCTAAATGTTTTTTGCCTAATTTTTCTTTATTTCGAAAATAAATATATAACGTTTTTGACCATTTATCTGGTCATCTTCAGTATTTGAAATTTCTTACAATTAATAAAATAAAATTCGCTGCAATTAATTACAAATACTTTACATTCTCGTATCATATCGTCAATAATTCATAAAGTATGTATATGTAACTAATTACAACGAATTTTATTTTATTAATTATAAGAAATTTCAAATACTGAAGGTGACCAGATAAATGATCGAAAACGTTATATATTTATTTTCAGAATAAAAAAAATTAGGCAAAAAATATCTAGCACTAGGCTTATATACTCCTTGTTGAAACTCTTAGTGTCGATATTAAATATTTATACACATAGAAATACTTACACCACAATGACAGTCTATTTACATTGCACTAAATTGGAATTCGAAAACGTAACTGTTATCATGGTATAAAGACAAGGGCTGTGTTTCAAACTTGACTGCCAGTACTGAAAATCTATAGTGCACGTAACGTAAACTGTAGCATTTTCAGTGTTGACAGTAAATTTGGAACACAGCCAAGAGTGCTCATCGGAACCAGCTTACGTCACATTCGGCTACTTTCGGATGCTTTCGGAAGCTTTCGGACTTGTGCAATGCAAAGCGCGTGCGCGCCGCGACGCGCGCCACGAGTTTACGAGTCTACAAGAAGGAATGGGCGCCGGTGCCACCAGTGAAGTAGTGAAAAAATCATCGCTCGAAAAAAATATTATTCTCGGTTAAAATGCTGCAGCGACAGAAGGAGGCTTTGCCGATGGCAGCGTTGTTTTAATTTCCTTCCGAGGAGAATCGAGTTGGAGTAGGTTATGTCAACTGGATATTAGACGACGAATGCGAAAACGAAAAATTCCTT